ATCCCATATCAACAGTCTAAACTCACAATTAAATGAAACTAGAAGAAGAAGAACAAATGAGGCCCTAAGTCAGCAGAAGGAGGGACATAATAAAGATTAGAGCAGAAACAAATGAAACTGAGAAGAATAAAACAATAGGAAGAAATAAAATGAAACCAGGAGTTGGTTTTATGAGAAAATAAAATAAACCCCTAGCAAGACTTATCAAGAAAAAGAGTCTCCACACACAAACTGAATCAGAAATGAGAAAGGAAAAATCACTACAGATACCACAGAAATACAAAGAATTATTAGAGAACACTATGAAAAATTAAATGCTAACAAACCGCATAACCTATAAGAAATGCACAACTTTCCAGAAAATACAATCTGCCAAGGCTGACCCAGGAAGATACAGAAAATCTGAACAGACCAATTACCAGCAACGAAACTGAACTGGTAATCAAAAAACTACCCAAGAACAAAGTCCCTGGACCAGATGGCTTCACCGCTGAATTTTACCAAACATTTAGTGAAGACATAATATCCATCCTCCTTAAAGTTTTCCAAAATGTCGAAGAGGAGGGAATACTTCTCATTCTATGAGGCCAGCATCACTCTAATACCAAAACCAGGCAAAGACACCACAAAAAGAGAAAATCATATCCCTGATGAACATAGATGCAAAATACTCAACAAAATATTAGCAAACCAAATTCAAAAATACATCAAAAAGATCATCAATCATGATCAAGCAGGATTTATTCCAGGGATGTAAGGATGGTACACCATTCGAAAATCCATCAACATCATCTACCACATCAACAAAAAGGACAAAAACCACATGATCATCTCCATAGATGCTGAAAAAGCATTTGACAAAATTCAACATCCATTCATGATAAAAACTCTCAAAAAAATGGGTATAAAGGGCAAGTACCTTAACATAATAAAGGCCATATATGACAAACCCACAGCCAACATCATACTTAACAGCAAGAAGCTAAAAGCTTTTCCTTTAACATTGGGAACAAGACAAGGATGCCCACTCTCCCCACCATTATTCAACATAGTTCTGGAGGTCCTCACCATGGCAATTAGACAACACAAAGAAATAAAAGGCATCCAGATTGGCAAAGAAGAAGTTAAACTGCCCGTTTGCAGATGACATGATATTGTACAGAAAAAAAACCCTAAGGAATTCACTCCAAAACTACTAGATCTAATATCTGAATTCAGCAAAGTTGCAGGATACAAAATTAATACACAGAAATCCGTTGCATTCCTACACACTAACGATGAACTACCATAAAGAGAAACCAGGAAAACAATTCCCATCACAATTGCATCAAAAGGAATGAAATACCTAGGAATAAACCTAACAAAAGAAGTGAAAGACCTATACCCTGAAAACTACATGACACTCATGAGAGAAATTAAAGAAGATACCAATAAATGGAAATACATCCTATGCTCATGGATAGGAAGAATTAATACTGTCAAAATGGCCATCCTGCCAAAGCAATCTACATTCAACGCAATCCCTATCAAAATACCAACAGCTTTCTTCAACCAACTAGAACAAATAGTTCTAAAATTCATATGGAACCACAAAAGATTCCGAATAGCCAAAGCAAGCCTGAGAAGGAAGAATAAAGCTGGAGGGATTACACTCCCTGACTTCAAACTCTACTACAAAGCCATAGTAATCCAGACAATTTGATTCTGGCACAAGAACAGACCCATATAGATCAGTGAACAGAACAGAGAGCCCAGATAAAAACCCAAGCATATATGGTCAGTTAATACATGATAAAGGAGCCATGGATATACAATGGGGAAATGACAGCCTCTTCAACAGCTGGTATTGGCAAAACTGTACAGCTATATACAAGAGAATGAAACTGGATTACTGTCTAACTCCATACACAAAAGTAAACTCAAAATGGATCAAAGACCTGAATATAAGTCATGAAACCATAAAACTCTTAGAAGAAAAAATAGGCAAAAATCCCTTGAATATAAACGTAAGCAACTTTTTCTGAGTGCATCTCCTTGGGCAAGGGAAACAAAAGTAAAGACATGGGACTACATCAAGCTATAAACTTTCTGTATAGCAAAAGACACCAACAGCAGAATAAAAAGGCATCCTACAGTATGGGATAATATATTTGTAAATGACATATCTGACAAGGGGTTAATGTCCAAAATACTTAAAGAACTCACTCACATGCCTCAACACCCAAAAAGCAAATAACCCGATTAAAAAATGGGCACAGATCTGAACAGACAATTCTGCAAAGAAGAAACTCAGATGACCAACAGGCACATGAAAAAATGCTCCACACTGCTAATTATCAGGGAAATGCAAATTAAAAACACAATGGGATATCACCTCACAGCAGTTAGGATGGCCAGCATTGAAAAGGAACAATAAATGCTGGCAAGGATGTGGAGAAAGGGGAACCCTCCTACAATGCTGGTGGGAATGTAAGCTAGTTCAACCATTGTGGAAAGCAATATGGAGGTTCTTCAAAAAACTAAAAATAGAAATACCATTTGACCTGGGAATTCCAGGCCTAGGAATTTACTCAAAGAAAGCAAGATTTCAGATTCAAAACGACATATGCACTCCTATGTTTATTGCAGGACTATTTACAATAGCCAAGATATGGAAGCAACCTAAGTGTCCATCAGGAGATGAATGGATAAAGATGTGGTACAATGAGATGTTATTCAGCCATAAGAAGAAAACAAATCCTACCATTTGCAACCACATGGATGGAGCTAGAGAGTATTATGCTCAGTGAAATAAGCCAGGCAGAGAAAGACAAATACCAAATGATATCCCTCATTTGTGGTGTATAACAATGAAGCAAAACTGAAGGAACTAAATAGCAGCAGACTCACAGACTCCATGAAGGGACTAATGGTTACCAACAGGGAAGGTGGGATAGGGAAGGGTGGATGGGGAAGGAGGGAGAAGGGGATTGAGGGGTATTGTGATTAGTTCACATGGTGTGGGGGTGGGTCATGGGGAAGACAGTGTAGCAAAGAGAAGACAAGTAGTGACTCTGGCATCTTACTACACAGATGGACTGCAAGGGGGTATGGGGGAACTCGATAATATGGGTGAATTTAGCAACCACATTGTTTTTCTTGTCAAACCTTCATAAGAGTATATATCAGTGATACCTTAATTTAAAAAATGGATCTGATGTGGTTTGTTTTCCTCATTTTTTTTCACTGGGGATTCCTCGATATGCAGACCTACTGTCCATTTTTCACCTTGCCACTACGTAACAGCAACTCACATCTGGATCACCTTCAAAAACAGCAATTGTTGCTGAAACACAGTCAAAAGCTTTTGCTAGTTACTTCACTGTTGACAGTGGTAAAGGCCCATGCTAATTGCAAGGGCCCTCTTTCTGCTACCTCTGTTTCTCTAATTCTAGCAAGTCTTCCTTTATTAATCCATGGGAACATCCCAAGCAACATTTCAACATCCCCTTCACCAACCTTTCACAGATTTACCTTCTTAACTACTTTCACAGATTCTTTATTAGGCAGATCTTATGTTTTCTTCCAAGTTAAAGCCTCTTTTAAGTTATGGGGAAGCTGAAATGTTTTGATAGTTTCAGAGTTAACAGATACAGCTTGCCTGCTCATTTTTGTATTTGTAAAACCTTGGTGGACTTTATAATTAGAAAACCAGCCATGACTTGTAGTAAACTTTTTGTCTCACTGTCACTATCTTTCAAATCATCAAAAAATACTTCAGGCCTTAGCATGGCCTTAGGGGTGTATTATGACAGAACTGAGCTTGCAGCCATGTTGCCAAGATTCATCCATTTTTTCCATTATACTTGCCTGGTTATAAGATAATTTCATGAGCTAAAGGGTGTATCTGCTTTAATGCTGCTTTTGTTTTTTTTTTTGAGCATTATTTCTAATATTGTGCAGGGTGCACTCTTAAATATACAGCATGGGGTATCAAAGCAGTGGCCTGGCTTTCTCTGAAGAGTTTTATCACATCTAACTTCTGTTCTAAATTTACTGAATTTTGGGCACACTCTTTAGCACTAGTACCACCACTTCACGAACCTGAATGACACTGTTATATTGTAGTAAAAAAAGATTTTAATTGAATCAAGAGCAAATGTTAAAGAGAGCAGCAGTCATTAAAAACATTAACCTAAAATCTGACACATTAGGTTCATGTGTTATTGATAAAGGATGATGGGAATTGTGTTTTCTGCTAAAGTGATGTTGACACAGGAAAATGACACCGTTTGCAATCTTTTCAGCTAACCAGATTTGAAGTTACACATTTTTTCAAAAAATTTATTTTGATTTTGGGAAATTTTATAGTATTTCCAATTTGAGACATAAAGTAGAAATTTAAATAGATTTTTACTTGCACTGTGTTCAGCCTCACCTAATTTGAAGATGCACAAAATGACACTACATTGAACTTTTTCAAAAGAATTTCTAGTCTAAAACAAAAATACTTGAATGTATTAAGAGAAAAATAAGCAACCAGATGGAATTAACACATATTTAAAGAAGGAGCCAGAACATAAACAATAAAATAAATCAGAAATGCATTCTTACAAATGATCTAACTTAAAGACTTGAAAATAAAATCAGTGCATATTACTCGACTTTTTAAAAAGACTAAGCTGAATGTTTAGTACACATGGTGTGGGGGATCACAGGGAGAACAGTGTAGCACAGAGAAGGCACACAGTGAATCAGTGGCATCTTGCTGCACTGATGGACAGTGACCGCATTGGGGTATGGGTGGGGACTAGATAATATGGGTAAATGTAGTAACCACATTGTATTTTCATGTGACACCTTCATAAGAGTGTATATCAATCATACCTTAATAAAAAAATTTTTAAAAAAAGACTAAGCTGAATTCAGAATAGTACTCAGATATATATTAGAAGGCTATGTCCAAAATGAAAATAAACCCAAATGACATTATGAGGAATAATATTAACAATAAAACTTACACTTTCAATGATCTTTGCTGCCTCTTTAATAACTGCACCTGTTACAAATCAAAACATACATTATCCCCAGAACATAAAGAAGTAAACATTAAAACCAAGAAGTTGCTTTCCTCTCACTAATGTAGGCTCAAGTCTATTCCAGAATTTCTCAAAAATAAGGTCCAAGGACACTTGTCATCAGTATTACCTGGGCTGCCTTGTTAAAGGAAGAACCCTGGGACTCAGCCCCATCCTATGGCATTAGAATTTCCAATGGTAACAGTAGCTCTATTACAATTGTTTGGGTTTTTTAAGAAATAGACTATACATACCACTTCCTGCCTTACCCAGGCCATTTGCTTGTTACCCACTTCCCTTAGAGATACAGAGGCATATTTCAACATGTATGTGTAAATGTAAATATTACAAGAAGAGTTACTTAGACTAGACAATACTTACCTCTTCAGTTTAACCAAAAGCCTTTACACCAAGTCTTACCTTTTAAGACACCATCAGTGCTCGCCCTGGGCTGGGCAGGAGGTATTTTTGCCAATGAAACCACATTGGTTATAACTGGAGTTGTGTTTGTCCTTGAAGAGGGAAATTTCACTGAAGCAGTGTGCGCCTTAGAAATATTTCCTAATTAAAATAAACAAGAAGGTAAGACCTAGTAAAAACAAAAGTGTCACACAAAAAACCCCTGTTTAGCAAGTAAGTTTTCAAGGTGCACTGCAAACATCTAACTCTGTATAACTCTGTGATTCTGGGTCAGATTAGCGTTCACTTGGTTCTCTCTAAAGAGAGCCTGATTCTCTAAAATTATAACTTCAAATGTTATTCAACAGGTAAAAATATAGGAACTAGTTTCAGGATTAACTGGGCTTTTCTATCATTGAATATTAAAACTACTACACCTAAACTTGCTTCAAGTGAAAATTTAACAATTTTTATAAATAAGTTGGTGAAGTAACTGTCCATCCACATAAGAACACTGGTTTTGTTAACCACATTATAGAATGAAAATTCCACCACCAATCTGACTAGTCTTAGAGAGAATGGATAACACAAAAGATTAGCACAAGATATATGGGACTAAGGTAATGATTAATAAGATTGCAAAGGCAAACGAGGGCCAGGCTTTAAGGGCAGAGCATACAGATTCTGTCAATTCAGCAGCACTCCAGGCTTAGATCAGAGAACAGAACATCAAATGTTTTAAATCTAACTTGGAGAAATGCTACTTAGGGGAGCTACTTTAGGAACATGTCCATATCTATCTATTTGTCTGGATATTTTGACCGTATTAGCTGTACTACTTGCAAAATTATTTTATTCTTAGCCAAGAGAAACTTTACTAACCATGAAGAACTGGTCTACTTTATTTTGTTTTTATATAATTAATGTGTTCTTTTTTCCTTGGCTACAAGCAAGTTCTGGATCAAACCTTATGCCAGACACAGCAACCATACTAACATACTTATATCCTCTCCCTTTGTTTGCCTTGATTTTCTATTTTCATTTCTAGTTTATTGGATCACATATATCCCTTAGTGTAAGTTATTTATGTAGAGATGAATTCAATCAAAAGCAATCAAATCTAATTTTACTATAAAATTAGTCCTTATACATTTATTGATGCCTTGGTATTTGATTATGATAGCAAAAGGCATCAGGGTTAATTTTCCCTCAAAGGCAATCTTTAAGGATTGTTACAGGAAAATTTAAGGAAATTCAGCCTACTTCAAACCAGTGAATTTTGTTTTTATTATATTATTTATAGTTGTGGGTGTTAATGGTATATCCAAACAATGACATAAAGATCCCACACTAGCCAAGTTTAACTTTACCTTTATTTTGTGAAAGAGGGTCATTCATAACTTCCTGATCACAAAACTCCAAGACACAAAGCAGGTTACAGAAACGTTTGATGTTTCCTTGCCATTTTATGGACTCACTTAACTTACCCTGTCGTTTACAACCATCACATTTGGCCATCTGAAAAAGAAATATAAACAGGATAGGCTTAACACTATAAAATAACATAAAGATAACTAATAATAAAACAAGAGGCACTATAAAAACAGGATATATGTCAGTCAAAATCACAAAATGCAAGGTTCCTACCTTAAAATATTGTGGTTAAAATATATACACTTTATATTATAATGTGTTTTATATAGATGACTTCCATCAAAAGAACTTTTATCTCCTGTTTTCAAAATTACCAATGGAGAAATCTAAAGATAGTTCAGTTTTTATAAAGTTAGGAGGCAGCATAATGCAGCAGAAAGAATATGGGTTTTGGAGTCATAAAGACTTTGCTTCATCAACCAGTACCTAACTATCCTTTGTCTTAAGCTCCGAGATAGGGCCTCGTCATACGATTATGAAAGAGACATGCCACCTCCTGCAAAAATTCTGTTTTGTGGGAAGGTAGACAAGTGAGCAAGTGCTGTGGTTTCACTGCAGTGTTACAGCTGCTGGCTGGTTTTCACCTCTAGCTTCTTCAAGGGAACATTACTTAGCCTCCCTGGACCTTACTCTTTCCCTTATTTATAAACTGGCAATAAAATACCTACCTCTTGGGATTGTGGTGAAGGTTAAATGAAGCATTAATTATGAATTAATTAATTTGAATGTGATCACCTATAAATTAATTCAATTAAGCGTAGCTTTCATTGTTAGTCTTTCAAAAACGTGATTTTTTTTTAAAAGGAAGTGGTTGTAATCAGTCATAGTCATTTGACCTATGAAGTGAGAGAGAACAAGGTCTGACTTCAAATTTCACCCAGGAACCTTTTGAATGAGAGCCACTTAACACAACAGAACTATGTTCTAATTTGAAAGAACTAAAAGTTATAAATAAGGTCAATGTGCCTTCAAGAAAACAAAAAATAAAAAGAACATATCCTCAAACAACAACAAAGTCTGCAGAAATCCTATACTTTTTACCCCAAAGATTTCATGTTTCTATTCAATTCAAGTTTGCCTTAGGAGCTCATAATTTATTTTACCCAGTTCTAAACATCAAATTTTTCTTCACATAATCTGAACATAGTTTAAATAGAAACTAATTTGTACTAACTTTAGAAAGCCAAAGTATGTTACATTTACCTGATTAAACAGAACTATAAATTTGGACATGCAGTCATCACAACAAAACTCTTCTAACTTGCCCTCGAATCGATTTTCCACCAAGTTAGGGGATGTCTGTGAACAATAACTGCACATCTTACAATAGTTTCCCCATCGTTCTCCAAAGTCACGGGCAGAAAGGAATTTGCAAACTGACCACCAGAAAGGAAGAAAGAAACACCAAATTTACATTAACCTGAAGGAGGTAGAGAGAGCTTCTACAGTCTGAGATACCTTAGGCTAATTTCTAAATACTTGACACAATTACCTGGCTCTAGGTTAAAAAATAGTCTCTATATTCATGAAACAAAGTCCTATCACTATCTAAATATACTTTCAATATTACGCCATCTATATTCAGACACATCAAATATAGTAAAGTTTCTAAAACCAAGAAGCAGTAATTGTTTAAGTCACCTCTTTACAAAGGGATACAAAAAGAAAAAAGATCTCTGGATATAACTAAACTTATGAAGAGATTTTTCTATACTTTATATTAATACCATTGATCTAATTATATTTTAAAAGTGTTTCTTTATTGAGATTATCGTAACATTTAGAAGGACAGACTTTAAAGTTAAGTAACATCCCAATTTAGAAGGACTCAAATTATACCTAATAAACAGAAATTATTTGAAAATTAATTGTAACTTAACAGCCCAACTCATCAAGAATTACTTCATACCAAGCTCATGCTCTGTAGATAAAAGTGAACTTTTTTCTTTACCTTCACTACAGAATGGCTTGTCAACCCCCGAGAATCGGACAGTCTCCTTGATAATTTTCTGCAGCTTACAGTAGTGACACATTGCCATAACTTTATTTTTCTTTTTGTATTCATCAGAGCAAGTCTTGCCACAAAACAGAAACATTTTACCCTACGGAGAAAGAGCAATTATTAACATCTTATTAAAAAGTTACTTTCTCTTTAAGAAACCCTCTTCCTTTTCATTTCAAAGCAAACTGACTGTCAAAGATGAAAGACAAAAATTCTATGTGGGGTGGAGCCTTATGATGGAGGAGGAGGAAGGCAGGACAGAAACCTCCTCCCACACACATACCAAGGAAGCAACTACAGCAAATACAACTAACCCTGAAAACAACCTGAGGACTGCAGAACAAACCACCTAGACCTGGAGAAGAGAAGATCATAAAAAAAAGGGTAAAGTGGCAGAGCCACCACCAAGAGGGATCCCAGCCCTTCCCCATCCCAGCCCACAGGAGGGAGGAAGATTAAAGGAACAGAGATGGGATAGGTGCCCAGGAAATCTGCACATCTGGCCCCAGAGATTTGCTCTGGGAACAAGAGTCCACATTGCATTGGGTTCTGGTGATTAGCAGGAGTTGGACACCAGGGACAGGAGGAACACTCTGGGAGGCTGAAACTCCAGCCCCTGTGGAAGACAAGCATGCTCTGCTAGTCCCACCAAGACCGAACACAGAGGCAGCAGTTTGAAAGACTGGCCAGTAATGGGAAGGGTGCCAGAGGGCCGAGGACTGGATGGGACTGTTTCTGCAGGAGAAAGAGCAAGTGGGCGATACCTCCCCAGCCCTCCCTTAGCCCAGCAGGTCGAGCACTCTCAGGAGCCCCAGGTGCTCCATCCCCCTCACTGGCAGCTCAGGCCCCAGGCGCCTCCAACACACCAGTCCACACAGCCCAGCCCACTCAGCCCAGCAGCCACTGGCTTTGCTGCCTGGTGGCCACGGGGAGACTCTCCCAGCTTTCACAGTCCTGTTTCAGCCCAATGGGCAGATGCCTGCAGGAGCCAGTTCCAAATGCTCCTTCCTCCCCACCAGTTGCCAAGCTGGGTGCTGTGCACCTCACTGCTGCTAGAGGAAGCCCATGGGATGTGCTGCTGCAGTAGCTGTGTGCCAGCAGCCTCCTCACCAGGGCAGCCTCCCATTGCCCGACTGCCTTTCCCAGCTCACCCACACACGCCCCCCACCACCACACACATCCTGCTGCCACTGTGAGACTGCAGGCCCTTCCACCATGGGACTCGCTGCCTACGCAGGCCCACGTCCTCCCACCACACTAATGTCTGCCACTGCCAAGCACCCAAGGGCTCCACAACCAGGTGACATGCCACCACCAAGAGCCCATGCACCCTGCCATTGTGCAACTCACCCTGCAAGTACCCCACCCACCCCATTAACCCAGCAGTCCTGCCATCGCTGCAGGGCAGGCAGAGGGAGGACCTGCCCAGAAAAATTCCAGCAGAAACCACTGTTCTGATCACATAGGACTAGTTGAGGCAAACCACTAGCCTTAGTAGACAGAGATAAATCACTGCCAGCAGACAGACAGAAAGATGACCCTACATATTGCCCACCAATAGCAATGGGCTCCACAGCAAAGGCACTGGAGAGGATATGAGTTCTGAGCTTCTGGGAACCACAGGATGCCTTCTGCATAAAGCCATTACTCTCTAAATCAGGAAGTATAGAAAATCTATCTAGTACAAAGAAGAAACACAGAAACCCTGACAAAATGAGGAGGCAGAGGAGTATGTTACAAATAAAACTATAGGATAAGACACCAGAAGAGGGCTAAATGAAATGGAGATCATCAATCTTCTTGATAAACATTTCCAAGTAAAAGTTATATATATATATACTCACTGATCTGCAGAAATATACTCAATATCTCAGGAAAGACTTCAACAAAGAGATAAAAGAACTGAAGAACATTAACTAAAGTGAAACACAAAATGGAGGGAATGAATAACAGACTGCTGCAGTAGAGGAGACAATGAGATGCAAATTAGAGAACAGGTGTACAACAAAGCTGAGGAAAAGAGAGAAAAAAGAATCTTTAGGAATGAAAGGATAAGACAGCTGTGTGACCAATCCAAGCAAAACAATATTCACATAATAGGGGTACCAGAAGGAGAGAAAAGAGAGACAAAGGAATAGAAAGTCTCTTTGAGGAAATAATTCCAGACACTCAAGTCATGGAAACTCAGGGAGCCACTAACAAAAGGAAGCCCAGCAAGACAACACCAAGACATATAATAATGAAAATGGCAGAGATTAAGGATAATGAAAGAATATTGAAAGTAGCCAGAGAGAGGAAAAAAGATTACTTATAAGGAAACCCCATCAGGGTATCAGCAGACTTCTCAGCAGCAACTTTACAAGCAAGAAGGGAATGGCATAAAAATATTTAATTGAAACAGAAGGACCTTAAACCAAGAATCATCTACCTAGCAAGATTATCATTTACATTTGAAGCAGGGGTTAAACAACTTCCAGAAAAAGGAAGGCTCAAAGAATTTATAACAACAAAACCAGCATTACAGGGTATGTTAAAAGGACTGCTATAGGTGGAAATGTTCCTAAGGCTAACTAGTTTTGATTATGACATCTAATACATACAGTATGGAGGAGGAAGAATCAAAAAAGAACTCATAGACTGTGTTTGAAGTAGGGATATCATCAACTTAATAGAGACTATTATACAGTAAGGAAGCTATCCTTGAACCTTTCAGAACCACAAAACTAAAGCCTATTAAATGATAACACAAAAAATTAAAAGAGAATTCCAACCACAGCATTAAAGAAAACCATCAAATAACAAGAGAAGAGTATAAGAGAGGAAGAAAGAAACAGAGAGGAGCTATAAAAATGACAAGAAAACAATTAATAAAATGGCAATGAGTACATACCTATCAATAATTACCTTAAATGTAAATAGACTGAATGCACCAATCCAAAGACACAAAGTGGCAGAATGCATAGAGAAACTAAGGCTCCTGATTGGATTAAAGATGGCAGCATGAGAGGTGAGACAGAGACCTCCACCTAAAACCACATATAATAGGAAATAAAATTCATACAACTACTCCCGAAAGAGAAACAGGAAAGATGGCTGCACCAAACTGGAGGAAAGAACAGACCCCACAGAACAGGGTAACATATCAAAGCCGTGACCCAGCAGGACCCAAAGCACCTCCCCCACCCCAGCTCACTGGCAGGAGGAAGAGAAACAGCGGGGAGGGAGTGGCCTGGGACTGCTGAACACCTAGCCCTGGAGATTTGCTCTGGGAGCAGGAACCAATATTGCATGGTGCTCTGGTGATCAGTGGGGATGGAAAGCTAAGACAGGCGGAATACCTCAAGAGACTGAGATTCCAGCTGCTTGTGGAAAACAGGGATCCATATCCAGCTGATCTGGGCAGGCAGTCTGAGAGACTTCCTAAAAGCGAGAGGGCTGATAAAGGGGCAAGGATTGCAACAGAGCTTACTGCGCAGGAGAAAGGACAGGCAGACAAAATTGTCAGAGTACACTTGCCCAACAGATTGGAACTTTCATGATCCTCAGGCATTCCATCCCCCTGGCTGGCGACACAGGTCCAAGGTGCCCCACCATGGTACGCAGCCTGCTGCGCTTTCCTCCAGGCCAGCCCACACGTGGCTAGCAAAACAGCAAACCCTGCCCTGGCATCAGGCCTGCCAGAGGTAAGCGCCGCCTATAGCACCTACAAACACAAAGCAGAGAGGCTTATACCTGTGTGTTCCACCCAGTGGTTCTGGCAGTGGAGACAGGCATAGCAGCTGGGAAGCAGGAAACAGCTCTTTCCTACCCCCAAATACCAACACTGCTCCCCTGCAACCCCCGACATTGCTCCAGGGCCTGAGCAGTTCCAGAGAGTAGAGCTTCTGGGCACTAGAGGGCACCACAGACAAATAATTAAACATCAAAGGAAACTGGTTCAAAGCAAAATTATGAATACACCTTAGAAAGATTCAAATGAAATCGACCTCATGAATCTTCCTGAAAGGGATTTCAAAATAAAAATCATTAACATGCTCATGGAGGTACAGAAAAGTATTCAAGAACTCAGGAACAAATTTAGGACAGAGATTCAATTGTTGAGGAACACAATGGAAGGTATTAAATGCAGATTAGATATGATGGAGGAGACAACAAATTAAATAGAAATTAGAGAATAGGGATACAAAGAAGCTGAGACATAGAGAGAACAAAGGATCTCTAGAAATGAAAGAATACTGAGAGAACTGTGTGACCAATCCAAACAAAACAATATTCATATTATGGGGGTAATAGAAAAAGAGGAGAGAGAAAAAGGCATAGAACGTATCTTTCAGAAAGTAATTGCTGAAAACTTCCCCTATCTGGGGAGGTCTCTCAGGCATTGGAGGTGCACAGATCCCCTAACACAAGGGACCCAAAGACAAGACCAAGACATATAATAATTAAAATGGCAAAGATCAAGGATAAAGACAGAATAATAAAAGCAGCCAGAGACAGAGGAAGATTCAAGATGGCGGCATGAGAGGTGAGACAGAGAATTCGTCCCAAAACCACAGATAGTGTGAAAATATAGTTAATACAACTAACCCTAAAACAGCAACAGGAAAGAAGGCTGAACGAGATTGCATACAGACCTCACGAACAGAGAAGACCTCACAAAACAGGATAACATACCAAAGCGTTGATCCAGCGGGACCCAAGCCCTTCCCCCACCCCAGTTCACTGGTGGGAGGAAGAGAAATGGAGCAGGGATGGGTGGAAGCCTGGTACTGCTGAAAACCCAACCGTGGAAGTCTGCTTTGCAAGCAGAAACCTACATTGTGTGGTACTCTGGAGTTTGGGGAGCTGGAACAGCCAGGGTGCCTGAGAGACATATTCCAGCCATTTGTGAAGGATGGGATCCACACCTGGCCGCTCTGGGACAAGGGAAAGGCAAGCGGTCTGAGAGGCTTCCTAGCAGTGAGAGGGCTGCTGAAGGGGCTGGATTTGCACAGATTGCTGTGCGGGAGAAGGGATAGAGGGACAAGGTGTCTGGGCACGCTCTGCCCAGCAGATTGGGAACTTGGAGGAGCTTCAGGTACTCCATCCCACTGGCTGTCTACTCAGCTCTAAGACCCCCCCCCACTATGAAATGCAGCCTGCTGAGCCTTCCTCCTGGCCTGACAGCACCAACTTACAAACTGACAGTCTCTGTGCGGGCGCCAGGCCAGTCAGAAGGAGGCCCCACCTACAACAGCTAGAGATGCAAAGCACAGAGGCTTACAACTGTGGGCTCGGCGCACTGGCTTAGATATTGGAGACAGTCAAGTCAAACAGGAATCACGAAACAAGTCTTTCCTCCCCGCAGGCACCAGCTCTGTTCCCCTATGACCCTGAATCTCACTCTAGGGGCTGAGCACCTCCAGAGACTGGAGCTTCTGGGCACTAGAGGGCACCACACAGAAATATGAACTGTCAAAAGAACATGGTTCAGACCAAAACCTCACAAACCCCAGAAAAAGGGCCAAAGGAAACAACTCACCAATCTTCCTGAAAGAGTTCAAACTGAAAATCATAAACATGCTATGGAGGTACAGAAAAATATTCAAGAACTCAGGAACAAATTTAAGACAGAGATTAAATCACTAAGAAATTTCATATATGAAATGAAACATACAATGGAGGGATTAAAAAGTAGATTACATGTAGCAGAAGAGATGGTAAATGGAATAGGAATTAGAGAAGAGGAATACAAAGAACCTGAGGGACAGAGAGAAAAAGAATCTCTAAGAATGAAATAATATTGAGAGAGCTATATAACCAATCCAAACGGAACAATATTCACATTATAGGGGTGCCAGAAGAAGAAGAGAGAAAAAGGGATAGAAAGTGTCATTGAGGAGGTAACTGCGAAAACTTCCCCAATCTGGGGAAGGAGATAGTCTCTCAAGCCATGGAGATGCACAGATCTCCCAACACAAGGGACCCAAGAAAGACAACATCAAGACATATAATAATCAAAATGGCAAAGATCAAGGATAAAGACAGCCTTTTAAAATCAGCTAGAGAGAGGAAAAAGATCACATACAAAGGAAAACCCATCAGGCTATCATTAGATTTCTCAACAGAAACCTTACAGGCCAGAAGCGAGTGGCATGATATATTTAATGTAATGAAGCAGAAGGGCCCTGAACCAAGAATACTCCAAAGAAGAAATTCAGATGGCCAACAGGCACATGAAAAGATGCTCCACATCCCTAATCATCAGAAAAATGCAAATTAAAACCACAATGAGATATCACCTCACATCATATAGGATGGCCAACATCCAAAAGACAGACAACAAATGTTGGCGAGGTTGTGGAGAAAGGGAAACCCTCCTACACTGTTGGTGGGAATGTAAATTACTGCAGCCACTGTGGAAAGCAATATGGAGGTTCCTCAAAAAACTAAAAATAAAAATACCATTTGACCTAGCAATTCCACTTCTAGTAATTTACCTGAAGAAAACAAAATCCCTGATCCAAAAGATATATGCACCCCTATGTTTATTGCTGCATTACCTACAATAGCCAAGATATGGAAGCAGCCTAAGTGTCCATCAGTAGATGACTGGATAAAGAAGATGTGGTACATATATACAATGGAACATTATTCAGCCATAAGAAGAAAACAAATCCTGCAATTTGCAACCAAATGGATGGATCAAGAGGTATTACGCTCAGTGAAATAAGTCAGGTGGAGAAAGACAAATACC